TTAAGGTAATATTAGATCAAACAACGATACCAACAGATACAACAACAGTTTCCGACACATCCATTCCATTATTCACGGGAACACAAGGTGGAACAAAACCCACTCTTTTGAACAAAGAATCATGTCAAAACAGTGTTTATTATTTCAAAACAAGTCCTTCAAATTGTATCTGTATCTTGAAATCGGGAACTATTGATGATAATTCAAATTCATATGAAGGTTCGACGAGTACCGATTGTGCAAATGGTGAAGTTACAACTGTTTATTCACTTCAAATTCCTCCAACTATTACATCAGTTAATGTTGCACGTAATTCCGTTTATAGCAGTTTGGTGTATCCAAGTGGAGTTCATTTCACTTCAACTTCGAGTGTATCTCTGAAATTTGATACTTTGGTTGTGGACAGCCCAATTTACTTTGGAACTCAAATTGCACTTAATGTCACATCCATTTCATTCTCTGCAAACAAACTTGGATTTTTGAAGGCTGATGGTTCATCAATAACATTACCAACTACTATCGCATTGGGAATATTCATTCTTCCTACAAGTGTTGCCAACCCACCAGGTGCTTACAACTGTCCATTAACAAACAATTTCAAAAGAAGAATTTATGGATATCAAATTACCGAAGGATGCCAATGTTTGGACCAATTAGCAGATTGTGGCATTTCTGAATTTTCAGAATATTATAATTTGGTAGTTAGTTCAAATACGGAAATTAATTCCAATTTCAATTCAATCGTCATTCCAACAACTGCGACACAAAATACAATTGAAATTTCTCATGTTGGTAGTGCCGTGACTGTTGGCACTCTTGATGTGTCTACTTTAACAACATTGAACCAACTCACAATCAAATCGAATGTCCAAATAACCAATTTCAAAAACAAACAAACCTATACCATATTCGAAAATTTGTTACCAACTCAAAGTACAAGTACTGTTACAACTGGTAATGTTTACTATTATAACTCAATCACAAATGCACCAACTGAAACTGGAATCTCACAAGTTGATTGTGGATCGTCAAGTAATAAGTTTATCAGAGTATTCAAAACCATGTCGAATTTGAATTGTGATTGTTTGTATAATACCCCAGATGTTGATTGTAAGAAGAAACCCGAAGTTTTCCATTTGAAATTGGACACTTCAATAACACCATACAAATTTACACTGACATTACTCTGGTTGGATGTCGAACTTACTTCTACTTCAATAAACCCAATGAATGAAATTGTCGTGTTGAAAGAGAACAATAAAATTATTGTGGGAAATACTGACTTTAAGTTATCTTCTACAGCACAAACAACTATAAACGCCCAATTTAAAGATACAAACACTGCATATATTTATTCTACAAACGTCCAAGTTGTACCAACTACTACAACAAAATATGCTTACCCACTTTTTGTATCAACATCATCTTTCAATGGACTTAATTCTATTCAGTGTAATAATATTTATAGATACTTTGTGACAGGAACAACAGCTAATTGTGATTGTAAAATACTTGACACTGACGGTGCAACAGATTACAAAGACTGCCATTATCAATCAGTTAACTATAACGCAAATACCGGAAGTGCTAATATCAAACTTGTTGATAATTGGAACTCTCTGACTTCAACGGCTGATTACCCACAAACGACAATTGATATGGGAAATAAATCCGCCACTTCTTTAATTATTAAAACAAACACGAATATTAATGGACAAGTTGGAGGTACAACCAAACTTGTAACCGATGGTACTAAATACGTTCTTATAGATACAAGTGGAAAATTAATCACAATTGATGTCAATCAATGTGGAAGATATTGTGCTTCATATAAACGGGGAGTTATTGATACTTCACATTCTGCTGATTGTTTAACAAACAATAAGAGAATTTCAAATGGTAACTTGTGCTATTGTACATTGAATGGAGACGGATCAACATACCTTGAAACTGATTGTAACCACGACACTACTAAGGATGGCTTTGATTTGTATTTAACAACAGCGACACAACCAATTACATCTACAAACAAATATAATTCTCTTGTTATTAAAAGTGATGTCGGCGCAGTTGAATTGACAACCACAAACAACCAAATTCAATTTACAAAGGTGGATGTTTCTAAAAACATTGTTTTCTCGATACCAGTCACTTCTATTGGAACTTTAACACAAACATCAACAAGTGCTTATGTGACTTTTAATAAAGCAACAACAATCACAACTGTTGTACCAAAAGCAAACGGATTTATCCTTTACAAAGCTGCTTCAAATGAACAATTGACAATCACTTCAATCACTGAACCAACTGGATGTGTTGATGTAGTGTACTCTCCACATGCAAATGTCAATAATGTTGCTACTCAAAAACTTGTTGTTCTCAACGGAAAATCAACTTTGAAAACAAGTCAATGTGAAAATACCGTTGAGTGTAAATTTGTGAAAGAACAAACTACAACATACGATGACCAATTCTCAACGATTAACTGCCCATGTGATAACTCTGTAAGCGGTGATACAACAGGCGCAAAATGCAAGGTTATGGTCGAAAGTGCAACAGCAGCAAGTATTTTCACTCTTGCACATAATGTTAAAGCTGATGTTATTGTACAAAAGGATATTCAATTTAAAACAACGACTCCTTATACCATTGATAACATGACTTTTAGTGGTTCAACATTGACTGCGACACAAGGTTCTGAAATAACACTTACTTCATTAACTACCACCGCATTAACAATTACGGGTAACGTGAACATCAATGCCCAAATTGGTGCAGTTAAGGCAACATTAACAGGGAATACAAAAGCGATTAATATCAATGCTTTTGCATTCAATGAAATTGTCTCGGCTTCTACAAATGTGTACAATTTGAATGGAGGAGCTAGCTTTGTTTTGGAATGCAAGAAATGCACATTGAGTGGAACTGAAACGATCACTACACTTAAAATGGGTAATGCAAATGAATATACATTCAATCCCGATTCACAAACAACTATTCAAAAACTTCTTGTTAATCTCAATGGAAATTTGACACCACTTAATATACTTGGAAATGTCGTTTTTGCAAATGTATTAAAGACTGATTACACATTTAGTTATCCGCTTGTTATCGCTCAATTAACAAATACTTCTTTGTTCAAATCTAATGCTGATCTTACAACGACTGGAATTCAAGTATTATGTAAAAACTTGGTTGTACTTGGAACTGTTTCACCAAGTACTCAAATTTGCGCAGCAAATAACTACGAGGAAGTCAATGAAGTCGATTTACCAACAAATTGTGGTTCTTCAACAACAATCTGCAAATTAACTTTGAAAAATTCGACGACGATGAAAATTACTAAGAACTATGATTCGATTATCTGTGAATCTACAGATAGCTGCAGTATTGGAACAATTGATGCTACTGTGACTAAATTGAACTTGATTGGTTTAACAAAGATATTCACTATTACAAGCCCACCAACTTTCCCAATTCGAGCAACAAATTGTGTTTTGAAAATAACAGGAAGTGCAACATTATCTGCACAAAGTGGTGTATCTATTGAATCATCAACTGGAACATTAACTTTATTAACATCAAATATTGATTCAATAACCACTTCATTTGATGTCGTCGTTAAGGGAGATGTCGTTATTGGAACAAATATGGTGACAACTGGAATGTTGACATTAACATCAGGTTCTTTATACGTGAAAAAGAATTTGACATTCAAGAGCCTCACAGTTGCGAGTGAATTTAAATTATTAACTGTTCTTAACACAATGACGATGAGCGATTCAACTGGTACTATAACAGCTGCTAATTATTACTCGCATTACGCAATGAAATATGTCAAATGTGGTCCTGTTGATTCTATTTTAACAGCAAATAAGGATTATACCGCAGATGGAATCAAATGTATCACACAAACGAGTGCACAAATTGACTTGAATACTAATGAAGCATATGTCAATCACTATAAATTTAATTGCAAAGACTTGACACGCACAACTATTATTAAATCACCAAAGGTGAGCTGCGCACAGAGTGTGACAACAAACAGTGAAGTGATTGTAAATGTTGCAACGACATTAGGTGGATCATTTACTCTGAGCAAATTAACAGCAAAGGCCGATGTCACATTTTTGAATGACGCTCATTTGACTTGCTCAACGACTCAAAACGCAACAGGTAAAGTTATTCTTTCAGGCACTGGTGAAGTCACAAATTGTGCCAATGTTATTCATAACTCACAAGAAACTATTTCTATCACCAACGTACCTTCCATTGAATTGATGAATACTGGAATATTTGATTTGAAGAGTACTATGAGTGATTTGAAAATTACGATAACAAAGAGCGGGTTTGACAAGACTATTCCAATTACCGTTGACATCGATTCCATTTCAATCATCGATTCATCAACTAAAATCAAAAATTACGTGTTGATTGAAATGACGAACCCAATCAAAAGTGGAAATTTGGGGAGTTACACATTCAAATGTAATAACAAGAAGATCGTCCATGGAGACTCTCCAATGTTTTCATGTGAAGATTTCCCTTATGATGTTACTTATACAACTGCTGATCCATCAAAGAACCCGGCACAAGGATGTATTGATGACACTGGAATAAATTGTATTGCGACAGTAACAGTCGATGCTGCTTATACACTGAATACACTTAACTTGAATGTATTGAAATCGAAATATATTAAATTGCAATTGAATGTCAAGAAAATATTAATAGTGACAATGGAAAAAACAGTCGAACAATTTGAATTGACGGGTGCTCAAAAATCGAATGAAGAGATGTCGTATGGAGCAATTTTGTCAGACATATTACCGAAATACACGACAGTCACTGATGCGATACTTAAAGTTGGTTCTGCAACAACCGGCAGATTTAAAGTCGACCACATAGTGTATCTCAACTCGGTTGGAACTTCTGAAATTGATCTGACGAATGTCGAAGCGAACTTCTGGGACTTTAACTGCTCGACTCTCAAACTTACTAATGTTATTGGGAACATTTCATCCCCAATTAATATCGACGATTTGACTGTCTCGGGAACACAACTGAATATATCGAGATCGGTTAATATCTCTAAAATAACTATTTTGGATACTTCTAATGATGTTGCTTTGTTCACTGTGATGCAAAACATTGAAAGTATTACCATTGGAAGTGGAATTGATTTAGAAAGCACAGAATGTCAGTACATCTTTAATTACTTGGGAGTCTCAGTGAAACCTACATTGAGTCAGAATTTGGATGAGATCAAGGACAAAAACAGAATATATGTTGGAGCGTGCACATTCAAATTGACGAAATGCGCACTTGTATCGACTTCAGACTGTTCAATTGATATTCATGAGAATGGGAATTACCAATACACTTCGTTGTGCCCAGATAATACCGTTGAGATCGATTTGACTCAAGCGAAATGCGGCAGTGTCACGTTTGATGGACTCTCTGAAAATGAATACAGTCAAATTACACTTCCAACTAACACGACATTACAATCTTCGACAACATCCCCAATCATTATCAATACTTTAGTGATAAAAGAAAAATTGATTTTGACGAGTCCATATATCATCACAAATCTTGTGGATGCCGTGGAGACACCACAACCAGCTTTGGACATCACTCTTGGCGCAAATACTCAAATTGTTAGTTATGCTTTACAAGGAGAAACAACTATGACTATTCAACAAGGCGCGACTCTTAATTTCATGAACACTGTTCAGAAGGCATATACTATCAAACAAATGACTATTGAGGGAAGTGAATTGAATGTGTATGGTCCTAATGTCGAACTCTCAATTGAAAGTCTGATATTTGCAACTGTTGCTTCAACAAGTTCGATTATTAATGTGAAACAATTTAACATGAATGCAGCCAAAGTTAGTTTGACAACTGCAAAGAGAACAACACACATTCCATTGATTAATACAATGGTTTCTATGGAAGACCCAACAACACCATTAACTGATATGTCATTGGTGTGCAACAAAAAGACTTTGATTTACAAACAAACAGATAGTGATGTTAAATTCCAATGCCCAGATGACGTCTTATGTACATATGGTTCATCAGAATGTGACAGACCATCAACAGGAACTACCGATTATGAGCAACGATATATCATTGAAGTACCAAGCACTCACAGTGGTGCTGTAACACTTACAGACAATTCTAAATTAACTAAAGGATATGATGTAGTCAATGTGAAACAATCCGGAGCTGTTATTACTGTAGCGAATGGAGGAATTTATGTGTTTAATATTTCAGTGGCTAAAGTGTCTATATCATGTGCTGATGACACGTCTGATGTGAGTTGTAGTGTTATTATTAATAATATGAATGAAGACTCTTATGGTGTCATGTTAACTGGGAAGAATATGATATTAAAGGAAGACACCACTATTGAAAATTTAGTGGCGAATGTGAATATAATGGGAGATATCACATTAAGTTCGTTTGAAGTGACTTCACTGATAGTGAATGTCAAGAAGGGAGGAATAATGAGAGTCACACAATACGCTTCTATGAAGGAATTGCATATGGAAGACGGCGCTTTAGTATACTCATCGGACTCTTTTGATGCTGGGAACTTGTATTATGAAGGCGGACAAATTATATTTGACTCGACGAACACGGAGGCTGTACTCAATGTGAACTTCTTTAATGTCAACAACGAAGTATTAACACTTGGAAAGAAGGAATGTATCCATCCAATCATTAGACAATCATTCACAAATCCAGAAGAAGTTATTGACAGGCCTGAACTTGTCTGGAAGGGTAAAGTAATATATCAGAAGACTTCTACTATGGTTGACCACAACTGCGGATATTCTAAACTTGATTTGTGTGGGAGTGAAGGCGCGGAACATAATTGTGAGAATATTGAATGTGATACGACAGATGGAGATAAGCGTGCCATTTGTTATTGTACGTATGACCCTGCTATAGTCCAAGACTGTGTTTTGAAATGCCCGGATACTGCAGGCACGGACTGTGTCTTTGACCCATCACAGTCTTCGAACTCTTTGTTTAACAAAATTAGTATACCAAAAGAGAACACTCTGAATGTCAGTAAACTGTTTAAATTGTTTATCTTACCAATGAGCCAAAACATCATAATCAGTGCGACGAAGTCACTCAATATCTTCCAAATAACAGACGTGAATGGGACTGGTGAAATCACTATAGACGCTGCTGATGTATCGATTGACTCTATTAGACTTACTAACCCCGAATCAGTCTTAACGATTAACGCGAAGTCCATGTTTGCGAAGGAAATCTATGTCACTGACGGAGCGACACTCAATATTAATGTACCAATCACTTTACAAACGGCTCAGGGTATTTTCGACTTTACACCGGGAGGAGTTGTCCCCAATGTTACACGACAAATCTACTTTGGAAAGGACGCTAAAATCAATTTGAAGGAGAACGCCAATTTTGTGATTCAAGGACCGACTGAGAAGGACACTGTGACGAATAAATACGATGCTGAATATAACAAGCTGACGCTTGAAGAGTGTGTGATGACTGTAGATGCGAACTTTAAGGGTATTAAATCGAACAAGTATCCGAATATTGTCTTCAATTTTGATGTAATAGGAGAAGTTGTTATTAACAAGGCTACACTGACTTATATGGATGGGACTACAACAGACAAGAACATCACTTTAATACTGAATAATGAAGTTTCACACATCGCTGCAAATTTGACATCACGGCATGCTATTGATGACCAGAACTACGCCCTTGTGATTGGACAATCTGCAGCTATTCTCGACAAAGCGGCGATTCCTGAGTTGTCGTGTGACTTGACTGCATCGTTCTCAGGGAAGGTGACTGAAGACACGAAGTGGGTGAGAAGTCAATGTCCATGTAATGGAGAGACGTGTATAGTGAACACGGAGTTGACGACGAGTTCAGTGAATTATGATATCAGTGGGATAACCTTTGCTAAATATTACACGACGACTGGCTTGTTAGAAGGGTCGAAAACGAATATCAGCGAATTGATATCATATGGAGGGAATACAGAAGTGAAGATCACGGAGTCAACAATTGGAGCTGTTTTAATGGAAAAGAAGGGAGTGATCTCATTCACGAAGCCACTGATGATACCAACAATTAGTGGAGTTGGCGAGTCGGGAACAATAGAAGTGAAGACGCACTCTTTAACGACGAAAAGTATGACGAATGTTGATATGTCGATATCAACAGGGTCGATGCTGTTTGAGAAGGAGACGAAAGGCGATTTTAAGGGAAGAAAGATTACCGTAGCGGCGAATGGAAGACTTGATATTTACACGTCGAGTGTCTTGTTTGATGAAAGCACTGAATTTGAAGTTACAGTGGAGGCGGGACAACCTGCGTTAATTTCAGTGGACGACGACGCACTTGGAGATGCATATACGATTGTGAATGCGAAGTATACAGTAACTATCCCGGCAGATGCGGCTGGAAAGGTCTTTGCTATTTTGCGAGTGTTAACGCCAATTAATGTGGCGAATTTCAAGATTAAAGACGGGAGCGAGACACCAAGTGCGAAATTGGGAGTGAAGGGAGCCGGTTTTGTGTTTAAGGAGGCGTGCAATGGAGTGATATTAACTGATCTGCCCGACGCACAAATCACGTGCCCGGAAGATAGAATGGCAAGAGTGGTGGAGAAGTTTGAATTCCCAATGTACATGATTGCAGTGATAGTCGTCTTTGTATTGGTCCTTGCTGTCATTGTTGTGTTACTGATAGTCTATATGGTCCACGTCTATATTGTCCGAAGAAAGAACATGAAGGTCTTTGAAGACGGGGAAGAGCTCGACGTCGATAATCAGAAACAAGACGAGGAAATCAAAAATGAAGGGAATAAGACGGGTGATAATAAAGCAAATGAAGAAAAACATAACGCAATCGAAGCACCTGTACCTTCAGAAATACCACTCGCTAATGACCAGAAGACTACTAGTGTACTGGAAAAGACTTCAGAGTCAGGGTCTGAGAGCGGCTCGGGTTCTAAGAAAGATTAAATGACTTATTTTTATTATTTTCTTAATAGTTTTTTTATTAGAAAGAATAGTTTCATTATAATTAAAAAAGTTTTTTATTATAATAAAAACAATAATTATTATTATTTCTTTAATAATTAAAAACAATATTAGTTTGTTTATTAACTAAAAATTTATAATTGTTTTATACATACAATTCATTAATTGGTATTTTATTATTTTCTAATAGTATTATAGTCCCCGACACTAAACGGGATAAACAATTAGTTTTGTAAAAAATAAAATATGGTTTATTTAATTAGAAATACTATACATTACAGAATTAATAATTATTATTAAAAATTAACTATTAAAGAATTGAATTAAGAATTAATGGTTCTTTATCAGTTGTGTAAATTCTTTGAGTAGATCATCTATGGAGGGTCTTTGTTGTGGGTCTTGACTCCAACATTTTGATAAAAGACTTTCGACTTCGATTGGAATGTTTTGAGAGAAGTCATCGAAGTTAGAATGGAGCTTATCTAAGGAATAGCCAGTCATTGCTTGAGTATAATGTGCTTCATCTTTTGATATAGTCTTTGGGAGTGGAGGACGAACTCCTCTTTCAATAGCACTTCTGAGAGTTTTAATATCTTCAGCAAATACAGTTAAAGGTATTTCTTCATATAATATGACCCACATTATCATTGCCAAAGAGTAGATGTCCGATTTTTTGGATCGAATTTTAGTCGACACTTCTGGAGCACTGTACAGCGGAGTCGCCTCAAAGCCATTCTCTCCCAACAAAATGTTGTTGTAATCGAAATAAGCAAGTTTGACAGTTAAGTTGCTGTTTATTAAGAATGAATCTGGTGTTAAATTGCAATGACTAAGGTTGAGTATGTTATGGAAGTACTGTACACCTTGTATTCATTCTATAATAAGAGCAGTTTTGACGGATATCGTCTTGTCTAAATTACTTAGTGTCTCAGACTCTATTTCTTCAGGACTGAAAATAAGTTTCTGTAAACTTGTTTCCATTAACTCAATTACATAGACGGGTTTGTTTGTACTTAAAAAGCAGAGACCAATAAAATGAACAACATTTTGATTTGTCTTCTTCTTAAATGCTCTGGCACTTTCAATCAATTTCGATTGTTGGACATGGTTTAGTTCGTTTGGGTCTTTGGGAATAAAAATGGCAACAGGAGAATCATTCAAAGTACCTTTGAAAACACTACCATACCCATTTGTGTCTAATTCATCTTCTTCTGAACCAATTTCTATATCATTTCTCTCAATTAACACTTCATTTGGGTTAAAATCTTTTTGCTAATGTGTTATTTTGTTAATTTAAATTGATGTGTTTATTATGTGATATAATAGATAATTATGAGTGAACAAACAGACATATTTTGGCGAAATGATAATCAAAATTTCAGTTTAAATTATATGGAATGTGCATGTAAAAATATTTGAAGTGTGTGTATGTATTTGTATTTTCATTCTATTTGATTGTTTGGTGCAGTGTTACTTAATAAATTTAAAACAGTGTGTAATATATATCATTTTAAACTCCAGTAAATTAATTTATGAATTATCTTAAGTAATAAAGACAGACTGTATGTTTAAATAACATTGTTTAATTATTCATATTAAAAATGTAAAAATAAAATAAAAATCTAATGACTGTTGTCGAATTTTCTTTCGAGTGTAACGTTTTTTGAAGAATTAAATATTTCAATTAATTAATTGAATGAAAAAAAATTACAACTTATTGGAAAGTGAAATACCCACTCGATCGAGAATCTCAGTCGAGAGATCCACATTAAAAAATTGAAAAATGTACTATATCGATCCATATTAAACTATACATTTCCATTCTTCGTTTACTAAACACCATAGTTCATTATGGTTTGAGTTGCTATCTTCTTGGATGAATAACTTGTGGTCATTTATTCAGTGTCCTTCAGATACTGTTTTTAAAATGTTTTTTGAATCAAAAAATATTGATCCAAATGGAAAACAGGGATAAATGAGTTAAAAGAAACGTATTAAAACGGGGATTTATCCTATTCTTTTTCACAAATTTTTACTCAACATTATAGGGACCTACATTGACCACCACCACCTTTACCAAAAAAAAATATTTGCCGCAAGTGTTTTTTGAAGGAAGTCCACTTTTCAGCCACTGTTTGTGCGTCCCCATATCGCCCACTTTCCTTGTCCGTACTGTGTGGACGCGGATGTGGTTCCCCCCCGCTTGCGGGGGGGTCAGGGGGATCCGCGCCAAGGGAGGACTTGGAAAGTGGGTGAAACGGTGCACAAACAGACTGTTTGAGTGTGTCTTCAGAGCCTTTTTTTCAATGCTCCGTCTTACTCGGTTTCCACTAAATCAAGGTGAATTATCGGCATTTTTTGAATTCGGGAACCAGACCTAATATTATCCCAGTTTCCTATTTACTATAATTTTAATTTGAATATGATTCGAAATAGAAAAAATAAATCTATTTTAAGAGGTGGTGGTGGTGGTCAATGTAGGTCCCCAACATTATATTATATTAAATTACATTATATTATATTATACTATTTTATACTATTTTATACTATATTCACATGTCTCTATGGTAAAATATGGTATAATAATAAGTTGTGGGATCAGTATAAATAGATCTTATACAAACTTATTTTCTATGGCAAACGTAGAAATTAAAAAAATAGCTAATATCAGCCGATGCTTCATGAGAACGTCGGGATTTTAGCATAAAAATTTGATTACGACACCGTACGGCATCGTACGGCATAGGGAAATTAGCACCTCTTTACGGACACTTCCCGTTTATTAGTATTACAATTAAAGTATGCCTTGGCCATAGTGTAATACCATTTATTATAGTTGTTTTACTATAAAAATATAGAAAAACAGAGTCAGTGCCTCGTATTTTTAAACTAAGGCTATAGATGTTATGTACTTGGCGAAAAACACTAGAAAATGTCTCATCTGAAACTCTGATATACATTGATTTTAGCTTTAATGAGTATTAACTCTCATACTTTATCGTATGCATACAGAGATGAACCATCTCAATATCTCATTTCAACCACTTCAAAATTGAATAAACAAAAGCATCAAGTTTATCAAACATTTGGACTGTTATATTTTCTGTTAAAAAATGGTTACAATCTATTGATTGAGAAGCCAAAACAAAAAGTTCACTTGATTCAAGAAGTGGACATACTTCAGATACAATTTTCAAATGGAAATACTCTATGGCAAACAAGTGCTATTTTACCGAATAACAAGACAAAGACCATTGTTCTGTCTCTTCTTGAAACATCGGTGAGTCAAATCACTCAATCCAAACGAGGAAATGTCAAGTCTATAACTTATAACGAAATGATTTATGAAGCAAACTGGATCAATAAACAAGGCAAAAAATTACACAACTTAGTCAATAAGTTTGTTCAAGGAATCGCTTGTGTGAGTGAAAGAGATGATATACTAATGGAAATGTATACCATTAACAATTATCAAGTCATCTCCATTAAATACAAGCCACAATTCATTCAAAAAGAAGAACAAAATGTATTAGACGTTTCTGCAAGTGTGGACTCTACTCAGACTTTCTTTGAAAAAACTCAATTAAATTGGAGCTTTCATTTTGGCAATCAAATGTTCAGTGACGAAGAACAAGGATTTATTCAAAACTATTCTAATTCTTTTTATTATTAAAAACTATTGTTCAGTTCGTTTTTTTCTATTTTTATATTAAATCTTTTATAATAAAATAATTATCTAAGTTTCGTTGATTTCAAAGTCATTTTTTATTATTATTTAAATTATTTTAATACTATTTTTTAACTTGAAATATGAACTGTAAAGTTGATTATGATTTTTGTGAATTGCTTTAATAGTAAAATTTACTATAATTCTAATATATAACAAGATCCATGGTATTTAAAGAGTTTCAGATCTGTGGGTCATTCTTGACCCACAGATCGAGTAGTCCGGCCAGACTTCTATTTCAAAAAATATTGACTTCGCGACTATTATGTCATTCAAACATAAAAACGCTGCAATAAAAGATACTCAAAGAATCGTTTTAAGAAACATCGACGACAAATATTCAAGTGAGTTGATACTAATAAATCATACTTTTTACAATCCCGTCACGTAGTGTCGGGGTTTATTTTTGTAATGAAGAAAAAAATGTTTAATTGAGGTTTATTATTCCAATACTTTATTACTACCTATAAAGATTTAAACAATTCTTTATAGTTACATACTATACTTTACTAATTCCTTTTTCTTACACAATAAATCTTATACATATAGTAAAATTAATTATACAAAAAGTCAAAGAATAAACGACTTTTACTTACTTGACCTTCTGCGTGCTTCTTAGAAACAACCCAGCCTGAACTGAACGGTGATTTTCTCTCCCTCTTGATACACATCATACCCGAACCCATCATTCAAGTACGTGTACTCCATTCCCACGATATTAATCGAGAGCAAATCCTTCAAGTTGAGTACATTAGTTGGGTCTTCTCCTCTCGCTTCAATGCACTTTTTGATTTGTTCCTCTTTTGCCTTGTCGACGATGACACTGAACTTGACAAAGCCTTCTTCGCTCGTGACGACCTTGACCATTGTGTTCTCCTCCGCGCATTCTACAACGTCTGTAGGGACGTCGGGGAACATAAACGCAACAGCTGCGTTTTGGATCATCTCTTTGTCGTTAGCATTGACATCCATAGAGAATTCCGTATTATAAGGGGGTTGGTCTCCCATATCTCTTCCAAATCGATGGACAAAATCAACGCCATTAGTTTCGCACCACAACTTAATGATCCCCACTGAATCTATCTCAGAAATATCGGAGATCTCTTTAATAATATCTAACGTGTCTTGTTCCGCTATAATCCCCCATCCCGCATCACATCCACCTTTCTCCGATAATGAGATCCAAGTCTCTATCGCAAGCACTCCAACTCTCTTCGCTTGACTCTCCAACTTCCCGATCTCCGTCGTCGGCGATCCAACTTGATTAAAAAATTCAACAACTTCTTTTAATGAATCAACCGGTGACGTACACCTTAATACAATCTCATTCCCACTCGGATTGACACTCCCCGTAATATTCGTCGGGGAACTCCGCGGAATGTTGTCGTAAAATAATTGAACAAATTCTTGCGCATTCTCATCTATCCATTCAAACGCTTGGACAAATGCTATCACATTCTGCAACGTCAAGTCTTCCCCTTCGACCTTCTCTTCTTCGGAATCGTCTTCACTTCTCTCCTCTACCCCGTCACACTGTGTCATGGGTGCCGTGTCATTTGGAACGGCTACCCCGTCACCCCGTGCCATGGGTCCTTTTCCATTTTGAACGGCCGCTACCCCCGCTGACTCCTGCGCAGCCTTTTGCGCCTCTTCCTCTTCCATTTTTCGCTGGAGCTCTTGCTGTTTGAATAACTCCTGTTGCTGTCGGAGCATCTCCGCTTGATCTTTCGCGCGTTGTTCTTCCTCTTTCTTCAGTTGACTTTGCCGCTCGGCTTCTTCGATGTCGGCGCGGCGCTTTTCCTCTTCCGCTTGCTGTTTTTTGTACTCCTCTTGTTGTTGTCTGAATTTCGCGAGGCGCTTCTCTTCCTCGCGCTGACGGATCTCTTCAAGCTCTTGTTGCATCTTCGCCGTCGCTTCCGCGGTGGCTTGCGCGCTCGCGATGTGTTGATCGTCCATTTGGACGGTAGTTGTTGGAACATTTTGATTGTTAAGTGTTGTTCCTTCTGTTGTCATCTGCGCGTTTTGTTGTTGAATAGCGGCTTGAGCGCCTTGGCCATTTGACATGGAAAGTGTTGGACGGGTGACGACCCATCCCTTTTTGGGGCGTGACGTGGCACTTGGGGCGGGTTTGTTGGGACGTTCGAATTGTTTTTTGTCGGTGGGGGGGTGTTGACCGTCATTAGGTGACGGTTGTTGTTGTTGTTGGTCGAGGTGTGGAGGTTCTGTTGGAGGAAGTTCATCTTGTTGTGTGGGGAGAGTCTGTGGAGGCTCCTCTTTCTTCATGAATTGAGTTTTAACTTCTGATGTGACGTCGACTTTTTGTTCGATGGGGTGGAAAGTTTCTTTGTCGACATTTATAGAGACTGGAGTTAACATTTGCTCTTCAACTATTTGTTGTTGAGGTACTGATTTTGGAACGGACTTTTGTTGAGCTAAAATGACATCTTTCATTCGCTTCACAAACTCATGAAGGTACATCTCAGTCTCAACAAATAATATAAACTTCCGATCACCTTTTTGATTGCGTGATAAAACAGAAAAGAAGAACTTTTTACCAGGAACATTCATCGTCGGCTCTTCCTCCACTTGTGTGGTACTATTTAATTCTATATACCCGGTCGCTGTTGTCGCACTCTTAGATGTAAAATACCACAATTTGTTCGGCTTCAAAACAAACCATCGCTTCTTCCAAGACTTCACACTTCCTCCCTGCTTCTTCGCCCATGCTTCAAATAATGACGGCTGAAGACTCTGAACAGATACATTTAAGTCGTCCGACATTGGTATTAAATCAATCGAATTTCCAGTTCACTTTGGAACGAATTTCAAAAATGTTTTCTTTTCTTTGATTCTGTTTTTCTTGTTCAACAATTCAAATTCCTTTCGGCATGTTCTCCATTTTGGCTTCTTATTTCTATCAAATGCCTCCTTTGTTCTTTTTGGGTGGTGGAACAAATGGTGTATTAATAGATTTATAGCATTTTAATTATAAAATATAATACACTTTGATTGAAAAAACTGGTGGAAATTATACCACTTGTTATGCCTCTTTTATTCATTTGGAAAAAACGGTGTATTTTCAAGTTCGCTCTTGTGAGTATTGCTTTTCATGGAAGGTACTAGTACATTACTATTGTTTTACTAATATGTACTATAATTCGATTGATTTTTATTTGTTTTTTTGGGGGTTTTAAAAAAAAACCAAAAAAAAAAGATTTTCACAAAATATTTTTAAACTGTGCCATGTTTCTCTTTCATTTAAAATAAAGTTGTGTAAGATTTTTTTATAACATTTAATAGTTGTTTATAGTACTTTTAACTATAACTCTACATTTATTTTTAGAGTTTGGTATTTTTCATGGAATAAAAAAAAGTTTGTTGTATTCAAAATTCAAAAATCGTTCACTCAATCAAAAAAATTAACGTTTTTAATGAGTAATTCGATAATTTAATTGAACTTATTTTAAAATTTAACAACAAAACTTACAAAAGAAATAACACCCAATTACACAAAAACGACGTTCGTCGTTTTGCTTTCCCCAAACGCATCTTTATCAACAACTGTTTTTCCGCAAATTTTAATCTCCCTCAACATTTCGCAACACGCAAAAGCACGTTTTTCAATCTTTTGTACCGACACACTCAACTTAACTAAACTCAATTGACAACACATCTCAAAGCATTGTTCCTTTACAATCCGCAAATTCGAGTATTTTTCTTCTTGTTCCACCACAACAAAAATCTTCAAATTACAACACCGATAAAAACACTTTTCGGGCAATATCGTTATGTTCGAAGATACCTCAACATATTCAAGTGACGAACAACTCTGAAAACAAAATTTCCCAATCTCCAAAACGTAAGACGGAATTCTCACAACCCTTAACCGCCGACTATTCTCAAAACACCGTTTCCCAAATACTCGGACACTCCGCGGAAAAATGTCCACGGCCCACGAATTTTGGAAACCCTTGTACAAACCCTCATCTAAAAACTCGTAATTCAAAACCTCAAAGTCCGACATCGAGAACGCACACTCACCAAACGAGGTGATGCCCTCGCGAAAAATCTTCCCAAAAACAAACGAGTCACTTTGGGTGAAACAGATTTTAGAAAAAATGACGTTATAGAATCGTTTATAAAACAACGACTTTTCAAAGGAAACTGTGAAGTCGATGTGGTATATTCCGACATGGTCCAAAAACGGGTCTGTCTGATTGTAGATGTGAAGGGTGTATAAGTTGGGAAAGAGGGAGAGCGTTTTGAGAGGAATGGGGTTGTAATGGAACTTGTCGAGTAACTCGCGATGTTTCGAATTTGTTTGGATGATATTAAGAAAGTCAGAGGGGTGTTTGAAATAGGTACTTACAATCATCAAAGAGTAACTGTCTAAGCAACTCGTCATCAATTGGTGCTTCAAATGGTATGGAATTATTTTATAGTTCTTTATACTATTGTTACATTTTATAGAACAAATATTTAAAAATTTGAAGTTAAGAATATTATACTTTTATTATAACATATACATTACATTTAACCAATTGAATTATTAATAAAATATAGATTAAATAGAATATATTTTGAATATTAGTTTCATTTATTTATTTTGATATGGAATAATAATATTAATAGTATAATTATTATTAAAAAAATAAAATAATTTTTAAAGAAATATTTCGTATTTGTGAATCAACTATTAAAAATAGTTATATTGTTAGTTATATATATTTATAAGAAAAACTATTAAAGAACGAAAAAATACACAAATTCGAACCAAACAGATGTTGAGCGGTTCAAACTATTTTTTCACATCACCAAAGGACTTGTTACCACATGTACTGACTTTTACACCGTACCCACCCAACATAAAACCATCACCACTTCCAGTTATGTGCAAAAAGTGTGGCTTTTATGACAATATGTACAACGCCCGATCAGTGGAATGTGTCTGTTGTTGCAACTGCGGGTCTCCTCTTCCCGTATCAAAGACGAATTCAGATACCTTTATTCCCAATTCTTCCAACGTTTCTTTATGTGTCCCATCAACGACTTCAATACTTAAGGAGTTTGTTTGTGAGTTTTTTCCAATGAATATTCCAAAAATTTAAACGCTTTTCAATTAGGCCATTCTGGTATTTTAAATCTTAATCACTCATTATTGATTAAAACAAAATCTGGGCGGAACAACACTTCATTAAAGCATATAAATTTACGATTAATTAGGTTCTTTGTATAAAAAATAACAATCAGCAATTGTGTAGTATTTTTATGCTCTTTATATTTCGACCCAGGTGCACTTCCTCTCATCAAATCAACAATATCTTCAATCTCCGACGTTTCTCCAATTGTGGTGATCTTTTTCACCCACGACACTCTTTTCATTCTTTCCCCGACACGCAGCGATGGGCTCAAAATCCTTCAAGTTCCTCATTTCAACACCACCAACGATCTTCCCGTTTCGTTTTCCTCGGTTTTATTTAAAAAGAAAATTTCACCTCAACTTCTCACTCAAATCGACAATCTCCGTCTTCCCTTTGAAGAGTCAATTTCTCAAATCGCAAAAATGGATGGATTTTGCCACGTCATCAATACAATGGATGCGTTCTGTTCTCTCAAATCTCAAGTTGTCGTTTTTGTTGCAACTTCGGTTCGGACATTACCCATGGATTTAAAGATCCGTTTTCCAGTTCACGTTGTGTTCCCGGATAAGTACCAATCTGCGGCATTCCCAGCCCTTCTTTTGTTTATTAGAAACAATGGAGGGTCTATACAAGCGTGGGACAGACACACACCAAACACGCTTGATGCAGCGGTCAAGACATTGTTTGTTTTTACTATTATTTATAGTTTATTATTATATATATAATACAATACAAAATAGTATAATGATATTATACTATTTTAATACCTTTGATAATTATTTTTTATTAATAATATACCATTATTATACTTTTTGTTCAACACCGTTAATGCAAATAGAATAAAAGAATAAAATCATATTTAATAACATATGGTTTAAATGAAACAATGAGTGATGAAAAGAGTGAGGGAGATTACCCTTCCACGAACGGAGGGTGGCGACGTCCGACTTATTTTCCCAAAGCAAATAAGTGTGGAAGACACTTCGATGGAACAAAATGATTTCATCCAACTTCCTGATGGGATACTCAAAAAGAAGGGGACTTTTAAGATCGCTCCATCCACGCCACTTTCAAGACACTTCATCTCTCTCAGATTCAACCAAAAGAGAGGTACTGCAAAGACTGTGTTGTACCTTCAACTCATATATAAGGACGTTCTGAGATATGGAGGGACGGAATTTCAATTCGAAGCGTTTGTTATGTACTATATTTAATAGTTATTTTATTATAATGTATAATTATGACAAAATATGTACTATACAATAGAAAATATTTATTATAATCTTTAACTAGTATTTAATAGTTTAGTTTATTATTAAAAATACCATTTTACATTCAAGCTATAATTATATAGTAAAAGAGTTATATACTATACTACCATACGCATACAAGTAAACGTATAATTAGTTTATAGTATTGAAATAGTAAAATTAATGAATAGAATAGAAACACGGCGGTTTGACTTGTCGCCGAGTTTAGTTGAATATTACTCGACACTGAATATAGGAGGAACAGCACAGGCGCTGTTATACCGCCACCCCGAGTTATTTTATTTGAAGAAACGTTTAAAGAGATGTATGATGTCGTTATCAGCGAAACATCATCAGTTTTTCCAGGTGTATAAGTTATTGAATTATATGATGGTGTCGCCGATGTACTCCCCACTGAACCCACACTTGTCCGCACAATATCAACGAGTACTTTTGGACTGCGATCCGGCATTTTTAGTCGACACATTTCTTCCGAAGGTCTACACGTTTGCGACGTACCAAAGCGAAAGCGAGGAACTGTATATTCCATTGAAGAAAGAAAATATTAAAGCACTGCAGGGAGTTGCTGTGGTTTTTTTGTCGTTCATGAAAATTGTTGTTGTGAGCCAAGAAAAGGAGATACATAAGGAAGGGAATAGCGTTGGAGTGTTTGTGGAAAGGATGAAAGAGAACGTTAACTACCCAATTGTAATGAGCGAGTTGATTATCGGAAGGGAAGACTATGAAGTGTTGGGATATTGTATGCTCGATGTCGACGAAAATAAGTCGTTTAAGATGTTCATCTCGGAACTCAATAGTTTGTACGTTAAATAAACTTTTTGTTGATTTTGAGTTTTGCTATTAAAGTGTTGTTGTATTCGTGAAGGAAGTGTTTGCGCTGTTTAAAAGACATTTTAAAAGAAAGAAGGTTTGAATCAATCATCATCGATATTAAATTGGGTGATGGTGGATTGTATATGGTCAAACACACTTTATATGTGTGATAATCGTTTCATGATTACAACATGTTAATTAATATGAAAAATTACTAAAAAATGAAAAAAGGTATGTTTTTAAATGGAATCATGTTATTTGGATAAAACATGTTGAATTTTTATTTTTGACTGCTTTATAAATGAACCATTTCTATTAATAAAGGAATTGTGAAAAATGAGCTTCAATTCCAAAAAAAATATAATATGAGATTATTGTGTCATTTATTTCATTATTGAGATACACTGTTTATCCAAAATAATGGGTTAAATATAATGTAACCTGTGTATTCATCACTGTAATTAAGGAATGACATTTTCAAAAGGAACTTTAATATAAAATCAAATTGAAATGTCATTATGGATTGTATAGAAATGGTTATGCTTATTTTATAGAATTACAAAATTATTATTGTAATAAACACATTGAATAATTTGAAAATGAAGTTCGATTGTTCTTGTTATAAATACTGTAGTGGTGTTGATAAAAAAATTCTAAATTAAATTCATAAAAAAAAGAATTAATGACATTTTAAACATTCTTTCTTGTTTTTTTGGGTTAAAACAAGATAATTAATATTTCTATTTCATACTTATGGCATTCATATATTTTGAAATACCTTTAATCAAGTTTTATGTACTTTAATTTTACAACCAAATACCAATTTATAATTCAAACAAAACTTTTTATTTTTTCATATTACAGTCATGCGAAAAAGCTGTCGCGTTTGGAAAAACCTGTCTTGAAAAAATATTTTATAGTAAATTTATAATTACTTACTATACAGTATAGCTTCTATTCGATTTATTTGCAGGGT